ACACAGACCGGCACTACTCAGCCCCTACTCTACACAGACCGGCACTATCAGCCCCTACTCTACACAGACCGGCACTACTCAGCCCCTACTCTACACAGACCGGCACTACTCAGCCCCTACTCTACACAGACCGGCACTACTCAGCCCCTACTCTACACAGACCGGCACTACTCAGCCCCTACTCTACACAGACCGGCACTATCAGCCCCTACTCTACACAGACCGGCACTACTCGCCCCCTACTCTACACAGACCGGCACTACTCAGCCCCTACTACACAGACCGGCACTACTCAGCCCCTACTCTACACAGACCGGCACTACTCAGCCCTACTCTACACAGACCGGCACTACTCAGCCCCTACTCTACACAGACCGGCACTACTCAGCCCCTACTCTACACAGACCGGCACTACTCAGCCCCTACTCTACACAGACCGGCACTACTCAGCCCCTACTCTACACAGACCGGCACTACTCAGCCCCTACTCTACACAGACCGGCACTACTCAGCCCCTACTCTACACAGACCGGCACGATCAGCCCCTATCTAACCAGACCGCAACTACTCACCCCTACTCACACAGACCGGCAACTACTCAGCCCCTACTCTACACAGACCGGCACTACTCAGCCCCCTACTCTACACAGACCGGCCACTACTCAGCCCCTACTCTACACAGGACCGGCACTACTCAGCCCCTACTCTACACAGACCGGCACTACTCAGGCCCCTACTCTACACAGACCGGCACTACTCAGCCCCTACTCTAACACAGACCGGCACTAACTCAGCCCCCTACTCTACACAGACCGGCACTACTCAGCCCCTACTCTACACAGACCGGCACTACTCAGCCCCTACTCTACACAGACCGGCACTACTCAGCCCCTACTCTACACAGACCGGCACTACTCAGCCCCTACTCTACAACAGACCGGCACTACTCAGCCCCTACTCTACACAGACCGGCACACCCAGCCCCTACTTACACAGGACCGGCACTACTCAGCCCCCATACTCTACACAGACCGGCACCTACTCAGCCCCCTACTCTACACAGGAACGGCACTACTCAGCCCCTACTCTACACAGACCGGCACTACTCAGCCCCTACTCTACCAACCGGCACTACTCAGAACCTACTCGACACAACGGCACTCTACCCAACAGACCGGCACTACTCAGCCCCTACTCTACACAGACCGGCACTACTCAGCCCCTACTCCTACAACAGACCGGCACTTACTCAGCCCCTACTCTACACAGACGGCAATACTCAGCCCCTACTCTACACAGACCGGGACTACTAAGCCCCTACTCTACACAGCCGGCACCTCCTCACCCCTACTCACACAGACCGGCACTACTCCGCCCCTACTCTACACAGGACCGGCACTACTCAGCCCCTACTCATACACAGACCGGCACTACTCAGCCCCTACTCTACACAGACAGGCACTACTCAGCCCTACTTACACAGACCGGCACTACTCAGCCCCTACTCTACACAGACCGGCACTACTACAGCCCCTACTCTACACAGACCGGCACTACTCAGCCCCTACTCTACACAGACCGGCACTACTCAGCCCCTATCTACACAGACCGGCACTACTCAGCCCCTACTCTACACAGACCGGCGCACTACTCAGCCCCTACTCTACACAGACAGGCACTACTCAGCCCCTACTCTACACAGACAGGCACTACTCAGCCCCTACTCTACACAGACCGGCACTACTCAGCCCCTACTCTACACAGACCGGCACTACTCAGCCCCTACTCTACACAGACCGGCACTACTCAGCCCCTACTCTACACAGACCGGCACTACTCAGCCCCTACTCTACACAGACCGGCACTACTCAGCCCCTACTCTACACAGACCGGCACTACTCAGCCCTACTCTACACAGACCGGCACTACTCAGCCCCTACTCTACACAGACCGGCACTACTCAGCCCCTACTCTACACAGACCGGCACTACTCAGCCCCTACTCTACACAGACCGGCACTACTCAGCCCCTACTCTACACAGACCGGCACTACTCAGCCCCTACTCTACACAAAACCGGCACTACTCAGCCCCTACTCTACACAGACCGGCACTACTCAGCCCCTACTTACACAGACCGGCACTACTCAGCCCCTACTCTACACAGACCGGCACTACTCAGCCCCTACTCTACACAGACCGGCACTACTCAGCCCTACTCTACACAGACCGGCACTTACTCAGCCCCTACTCTACACAGACGGCACTACTCGCCCCTACTCTACACAGACCGGCACTACTCAGCCCCTACTCTACACAGACCGGCACTACTCAGCCCCTACTCTACACAGACCGGCACTACTCAGCCCCTACTCTACACAGACCGGCACTACTCAGCCCCTACTCTACACAGACGGCACTACTCAGCCCCTACTCTACACAGACCGGCACTACTCAGCCACTACTCCGCCCCTACTCTACACAGCCCGGGTCACTACTCAGCCCCTACTCTACACAGGACCGGGGCATCTACTCAAAGCCCCTACTCATACACAGACCGGGCAACTACTCAGCCCCTACTCTACACGTACCGGCACTACTCAGCCCCTACTCTACACAGACCGGGTACTACTCAGCCCCTACTCTACACACAGACCGGGCACGACTCAGCCCCTACTCTCACAGACCGGCAAATACTCAGCCCCTACTCTACCACAGACCGGCACTACTCCAGCCCTACTCTACCACAGACCGGCACTACTCAGCCCCCTACTCACACAGACACGGCACTACTGCAGCCCCTACTCTACACAGACAGGCACTACTCAGCCCTACTCTACCAAAGGACCGGCACTAACTCAGCCCCTACCTCTTACACAGACCGCAACTACTCAGCCCCTACCTACACAGACCAGGCACTACTCAGGCCCCTACTCTACACAGACCAGGCACTACTCCTCAGCCCCTACTCTACACAGACCGGCCCTACTCAGCACCCTACTCTACACAGACCGGGTCCTACTCCAGCCCCATAACTCTAAACACGGACCCGGCACTACTCAGCCCCATACTCTAACACAAGAACCGGCACTACTCAGCCCCTACTCTACACAGACCGGCACTACTCAGCCCCTACTCTACACAGACCGGCACTACTCAGCCCCTACTCTACACAGACCGGGCACTACTCAGCCCCTACTCTACACAGACCGGCACTACTCAGCCCCTACTCTACACAGACCGGCACTACTCAGCCCCTACTCTACACAGACCAGACTACTCAGCCCCTACTCTACACCAGACCGGCACTACTCAGCCCCCTACTCTACACAGACCGGCACTACTCAGCCCCTACTCTACACAGACCGGCACTACTCCGCCCCTACTCTACACAGACCGGCACTACTCAGCCCCTACTCTACACAGACCGGCACTACTCAGCCCCTAATCTACACAGGACCGGCACTACTCAGCCCCTACTCTACACAGACCGGCACTACTCAGCCCCTACTCTACACAGACCGGCACTACTCAGCCCCTACTCTACACAGACCGGCACTACTCAGCCCCTACTCTACACAGACCGGCACTACTCAGCCCCTACTCTACACAGACGGCACTACTCAGCCCCTACTCTACACAGACCGGCACTACTCAGCCCCTACTCTACACAGACCGGCACTACTCAGCCCCTACTCTACACAGACCGGCACTACTCCAGCCCTACTCTACACAGACCGGCACTACTCAGCCCCTACTCTACACAGACCGGCACTACTCAGCCCCTACTCTACACAGACAGGCTACTCAGCCCCTACTCTACACAGACCGCACTACTCAGCCCCTACTCTACACAGACCGGCACTACTCAGCCCCTACTCTACACAGACCGGCACTACTCAGCCCCTACTCTACACAGACCGGCACTACTCAGCCCCTACTCTACACAGACCGGCACTACTCAGCCCCTACTCTACACAGACCGGCACTACTCAGCCCCTACTCTACACAGACCGGCACTACTCAGCCCCTACTCTACACAGACCGGCACTACTCAGCCCCTACTCTACACAGACCGGCACTACTCAGCCCCTACTCTACACAGACCGGCACTACTCAGCCCCTACTCTACACAGACCGGCACTACTCAGCCCCTACTCTACACAGACCGGCACTACTCAGCCCCTACTCTACACAGACCGGCATACTCACCCTACTACAGACCGGCACTACTCAGCCCCTACTCTACACAGACCGGCACTACTCAGCCCCTACTCTAAACAGACCGGTGCAGTATAACCAATCAGAGCTGCAGTAGGCCTATATGCAAATAGACCATTGCCATATATGGATCTGTGCCATTTACGTTGAACTGGACTGTGTTTACAGCATGAGCGGTTGTGAGTAGATGCGCTTGTTTTGAGATCAAAGTGAGAGCTGCATGTAGCCATGTGTGCACATTTTGTTCATATCCTTTTCTAGTTAGTGAGTTATTAGCCCAGTTATAGATCAATTGTAGTCAGCAATAGGGGAGTGATTGCTTCCAAAAAGAGCACAAAACATGTACATCTTTGAAAAGCGAGTCAGGTAAAGAGCTTTTTTTGTTGTCTTAAAGGGGCAGTGTTGTATTTTGAGACAGGCTTGGATAAGCTAAGTAGCCAATAGGCAGAGGGTAGCATGATTTGTCTGATTCTCTTTAATAATGGTATGGGAATAATAATGCAGTTAGATTTTTGACAACGTTCAGGTTTGCGCTCAGCAGACCTGAAATTGGCTGCCAGGTTAATAATAATTTACATGAGTTCTGAATGGGTTTCCCCATTAAAACAAGTCTTTACATGAGTTCTGAATGGCTTTCCCCATTAAAACAAGTCTTTACATGAGTTCTGAATGGTTTCCCCATTAAAACAAGTCTTTACATGAGTTCTGAATGGGTTTCCCCATTAAAACAAGTCTTTACATGAGTTCTGAATGGGTTTCCCCATTAAAACAAAGTCTTTACATGAGTTCTGAATGGTTGTCCCATCTGAAGGTGTCGTTGCGGAGCACCTTGGCCAGTTTCTCGTTGAACGGAGTGTAGAAGTCCCTCAGTATCTCCTTGGTTACGGGGAGCATGGGCCCCAGGCTCTTATCGGCTGGCCTCCGCGTGTTGGAGGCGGGACTTTTAGTGATCTCTGCTTCCTTCTGCTCTGTCAACGGTCCTTTAATACACACATTCACATACTGTAAGCCACATACCAATCAATCAGTCAATCAGTTAGTCAATCAATCAACCAAATCAGTCAATCAACCAATCAGTCAATCAATACATTAATCAACCAATCAGTAAGTCAATCAATCAATTAATCAATCAGTCAAACGATCAATAAATCAAAAAGTGCTTTACAGTAACATTTACAGTAACATTTACAGTATCCTTTACAGTAACCTCTGTTACACCCTGATACCTGGGTGATGGTGAGACTAGTTGGAGTGTTGGTGAGTTATAGGGCTGTGGGGCTGTGCTGCCACCATCTGCTTATAGTAGGAATAGCATGGGGAAGTGTCCATATATTGATGTAGATCTTAGGTGATTGCACTCATAAGTAAACTTCAAAGAGCTTGCTAAGGATTAAAGCTCTGTGTTCAGCAGCTTCAATAGAGACTGATTGACTTGAAAGAAAGAAATGTTAAGGGCAAGAGTTGAGTACTTTCATACCCAAGTTGAGGAAGTCAAAGACTTTGTGCATTGTGTATTTCCTGTTGGAAGCGTGATCTTCAAGCCGTAGGACCAGAATCTGCTCTCTACTGTAGACTGTCAACCAGTCTAGTATGTAGACTATGTACAGGCCCACCTGCAACCTGACCTAGGAACAGAAAATAGACAGCTTAGTATAGAATATGTAGAGGCCAACCTGCACAGAGACACAATAACAAAGGCAACACATGCATTGATAAAAGTCTTAGGAAGCTATCAGGAGAGAAAGAGAGAGAGAGAGAGAGAGAGAGAGAGAGAGAGAGAGAGAGAGAGAGAGAGAGAGAGAGAGAGAGAGAGAGAGAGAGAGATAGATAGAGAAGTAGATGAGATAGAGAGAGACAGAGAGATACAACGAGAAAGCAGGAGAGTACAGAAAGAGAGAGACAGAAAGAGAGATACAGAAAGAGAGAGAGAGGGAAAAGAGGGGGAATTCCACCCAGATCTATTTTTTCTCTTCCAAACAGTTGGCTGAGTCAACCAAGGAACTGCGGGACGGCTTTGATATGGGCTGATGTTGTGGGCTGTGATTGGCTATGGGCCTTGAGGTAGAACTGGGCCAGAATGACTCAGAACCGCAACTGTTAGTCAGCTACACCAGACAGTTCAATAGAACCACCACTGTTAGTCAGCTACACCAAAACACAGTTCAATAGAACCACCACTGTTAGTCAGCTACACCCCAACACAGTTCAATAGAACCACCACTGTAGTCAGCTACACCCAAACACAGTTCAATAGAACCACCACTGTAGTCAGTAAACCACAAACACAGTTCAATAGAACCAAACCCCTGTTAGTCAGTTAAACCACAAACACAGTTCAATAGAACCACCACTGTTAGTCAGCTACACCACAAACACAGTTCAATAGAACCACCACTGTTAGTCAGCTACACCACCCAAACACAGTTCAATAGAACCACCACTGTTAGTCAGCTACAACCACAAACACAGTTCAATAGAACCACCACTGTTAGTCAGCTACACCCCAAACACAGTTCAATAGAACCACCACTGTTAGTCAGCTACACCACAAACACAGTTCAATAGAACCACCACTGTTAGTCAGCTACACCCCAAACACAGTTCAATAGAACCTCCACTGTTAGTCAGCTAAACCACAAACACAGTTCAATAGAACCACCACTGTTAGTCAGTTAAACCACAAACACAGTTCAATAGAACCACCACTGTTAGTCAGTTTAAACCACAAACACGTTCAATAGAACCCACACCCTGTTAGTCAGTTAAACCACAAACACAGTTCAATAGAACCACCACTGTTAGTCAGCTACACCCCAAACACAGTTCAATAGAACCACCACTGTTAGTCAGCTACACCCCAAACACAGTTCAATAGAACCACCACTGTTAGTCAGCTACACCACAAACACAGTTCAGAGCGTTATGGTTAGTCTGTGAAAGCATAGAAACCAACCCAATGGGGAGAGGAGAAGGCCTACTCACTGGCATGGCGTTGTTGAGCGTAGTGTTGTATACACAGGAGCGCATGGTGTACTCCGTAAGACACCCTTCAAACAGCTGCAGAGACTCGGACACCTTCTCCTGGAAATCCTCCGCGGACTTATTAGTGATCCCAAAGAAGAGATAGTCAGAGTATAACCTGAGACAACAAACAACAATCAACAACAACATCAACAATACCAACATCAACAAACTACAACAACCAAGGCTGGGATTCAATCTGATCGTTGGTTGTTGACAGTGCATTTTTAAAGGCGATATTTAAAGGCATGGTAAATGCTGCATATGTCGGCTCAATTGGAAATTGCCTTTAAAAGCCAGCGCCGCATTGTCGACAATCCACGGTTGGATTGAATCCCGACCCAAGTCATAAGCATTTTACCATCATCTCACAACTCTTGGTACTACGTGTGACCAACCTCTCCAAAGTACTGTAGCTTCAATGATTAAACTCTCTGATTGCCATTCTCTCAAAAGGAATTTAGGCAAATATGCAAAAACCCAAACAAACATTGCTTGCGATCCATTTAGTCTGCCCCGCCATTGAAAGCTCATGAGGTGCTTGGGTTTGTAAACACATTTAGTTAATCTAATTGAGCATGGCGATTCGCACGCACACCCACACAAACACTCTCTCCCCTTGGCTTGGCTGCTGTGATTTGACAGACAAAACCAAATTAAAGTGAGCAGGTTGAGACTTCCAGACATCCACTGAAGTAAAACTGTGTTCAGTTAGAGCAGAGACTAACTCATCTTAATTTATAGAGAACGCTCCCAGGCTGTCAGCTATTAGCTGTCATGGCAACAAATTCCTCCTCATAACAAACAACACATCTCAATCTGAAATAAATCTGGAATGTAGTTTGCTTAATGTGTGTGTGTGTGTGTGTGTGTGTGTGTGTGTGTGGTGTGTGTGTGTGTGTGTGTGTGTGTGTGTGTGTGTGTGTGTGTGTGTGTGTGTGTGTGTGTGTGTGTGGTGGGGTAATGTGTGCAGTGTGTTGGGCATCAACAGAGATGAAGAAAGACCAAAGCTAACTGATTTGGCCCCGGAGGGATAGATGGAGAGAGAGATGGAGGGAGGGAGGGAGGGAGTCGGAGGGAGGGAGGGAGGGAGGGAGGTGTGGGGAGGGCAGGGAGGGAGGGAGGGAGTCACAGGGAGAGATGGGGGAGAGTCAGACAGACAGACCCACCTCTCTACAGGGTCCCTGAGCATGATGATGAACCATGCTTCATGCTGAAGGGTTAGAGTTAACAGTAGTAGTAGTAGTAGTAATAGTATAGTAGTAGTAGCAGTAGTAATAGTAGTAGTGTAGTAGTTAGTAGTAGTAGTATATGTAGTAGTAGTAGTAGTAGTAGTAGTAGTGTAGTATAGTAGTGTAGTTGTCGTGTAGAGTAGTGTAGTCGTAGAGTAGTAGATAGTAGTAGTGTAGTAGTAGGTAGTAGTAGTAGTCGTCTAGTAGTGTTAGTCAGTCGTAGTCAGTGTTAGTCGTCGTAGTAGTGTCGTGTCGTCGTAGTCGTGTGTCGTTGTAGTAGTCGTCGTAGTCGTCGTCGTTCGTCGTGTGTCGTGTCGTGTGTCGTCGTCGTATGTGTGTAGTGTAGTGTTCGTCGTGTCGTACGTCGTGTCGTCGTGTCGTCGTCGTCGTCGTTACGTGTGTCGTCGTGTCTCAGTCGTTGTTGTCTGTCGAGCGTGTCATGCTTGATTCGTCAGTCTGGCATTTGCATCACGCTGTTTCCTTTGTACTCTTATGACGTAGCTAGCCACCTGTGGCGCAGGGAGCCCGTCATATGTCCCCCTTGTTCCTATATTGTCCTTTTGCTCGTTTGATGACTCTGCGGTCGTAC